AAGCCCGGAACCCACCCGGCGTGGGCGAACGGAGCCAGAGTGCCCACCACCAAGGACACGCATGGGCAGCCGGAGCCGGTGTCGAACTCCAGCTCATGCGACCAGACGACAGCACAAGCTCTCTCTCCTGCTCATTCCTCGACCCTTGATCCCCGCCGCCTGCAGGGACAACGCCCTCAACGCGATTGACCGCTGAAGCGCCGAAAAGAGGAGGGTCACTCCGGCGACTCGAGGAGTTCGATCCAGCCGGTACACCCAAAGACGGTGGTATAGCACGCAGTCCATCTTTGTCCCTTCGAAGACCGGAATCTCGCTCCACTACCCCCCGTGCTCTTAATGCGGTCGATGAGTCCGGTCAAGGTATAAACGCGCCATCTTCCTTTCACATCCCAAAAACCAAGCCGCTGCCAGCTACAAGCCCGCCTCCACGACCTCCACTCGCCGTTCGACGACAGTCTCTAGTCCCCGCTCACCAGCACCGCCTTATAAACAACCTTTTAGATCCTGGAACAACTGCAAATACTGGTGACTACTTTTCTCGCCCGACGCCGGCTATTCAGCCAGACATGATTAGCCGAAAGGTCTGGGTCAAGCGAGGTGGCTCCTCCGCGACGCTGGTCTCTGTGACTGAGGAGGATTTGGTGGATGATCTGCGGGAAGCCATTTTGAAGAAATACACAAATTCCCTTGGTCGCACGTTCGACGCGCCCGATATTGTGCTGAAATTGATACCACGCGAGCCATCCAGCCGCCAAAGTAACCCCGAGCGTCTGCTAGGACCGGAAGAGCTAGTTGGACAGGCTTTGGACCATTATTATCCCGGTGGACAGAGCGTCGGAGAAGCGTTATTGATTGAAATCCCCCCGCGTCGCACGCCACGACCCTCTCCGCATCACAATGTTCCATACGGAGTCCACCCGGAAGCCATACGACCTGGTGAACCCGATGAGTACTTCCCGCCTATGCATTCCATACAACCTTCCAATGTCCCTGGTTCGCTATCATCCGCAAGCATACCCAGCACCCATCAACACTCAATGTCTGTCATTAACGGCGTTCCATTACCGCCTGTTCCTTCGCCGGGCAGTTGTGGCTCCTGGCATAATGTTCAGCATCGACCGCAACTCCCTCGTCAACCTACCTCTTCTCCTACGATGAACGGTGCGACCCCTGCCGTAAGCAACATGACTGGTAGGCGAACCCCATTCTAATACCGTCCTCTTCTCCGTTTCTCTCCTTTCTTCGTTTTGGCCCTTCCGAGTGCAGTGTTAACGTGTTTGGCTCCCGTTTTGCCTGTCTCGACACATTTAGACAACATGGAACCAACCCATCAATAGTGTTGCTCCCATCCCCTCCACCTCCATCTACCAGCACTCCTTCCGGTTCAAGTCCCCAGAACCCGCAAACGAAATCCGCACATACTCCCCCAACTCGCGTGAGCTCCCCCTCGTCCAGTCCAAAAACTCCGAAAAATGGGGAAACTTAGCAGCGGCGCTACTGTGGAATCCAATAATAACACTTCCGGTCTTCTCGACGTCAACGCACCGCCCATCAACGTCCTTATCGTCGAAGACAACACGATCAACCTTAAACTTTTAGAAGCCTTTATGAAACGCCTTAAAGTCCGATGGCAAACAGCAATGAATGGTCGCGAAGCAGTCAATAAATGGCGTGGCGGAGGGTTCCATTTGGTTCTAATGGACATCCAACTTCCCGTCATGAACGGTCTTGAAGCTACTCGAGAAATCCGTAGATTAGAGCGGGTGAACAACATCGGCGTGTTTTCCAAAGGCGTCGCTCCAACATCGCCCCATGCCATGGTCAGTACAAAGGGCAACCATGTCTTTCCACCACAACCGGAGGACTTGATTGATAAGGGATCATCCTTCAAGAGCCCTGTCATTATTGTGGCACTTACGGCGAGTAGTCTGCAAAGTGACAGGGACGAGGCTCTGGCCGCTGGATGTAATGATTTCTTAACAAAGGTAAGCCACTACTTATCCTGAATCGTCTCTCTGTTGGCTTTTCCTTCTTTCTTTTTTTTTTTTTTTTTTTCAGGGGGGCCAGCGTGCTGATTCCGATATTCAGCCTGTCAATATGATGTGGCTAGAAAAGAAAGTCAAGGAATGGGGCTGCATGCAAGCTCTAATTGATTTTGAAGCCTGGCTCAAATGGCGTGGCTACGACTCGTCGCCATCAGACCCCATATCTCGGCAATCTACAACCAACACCATCATCGGTGGCCCCTTAACCAACTCTCCTTCGCTTGCGCCGACATCAAAGCTTTCTCAGGAGATTATTCCTGCCAGACTCGCAACAGAAAACGGAAAGTCAGTGCCAAGCCAAAGAGAATCGAGCCCAGCCCCGACGTCCAAGATCCCAGGAGCCAGTATATATAAGAGCGGAAAAGATTCCTCCGCTAGTTCCGCCTCGACAATCGTACCGAAAGGGGCTGCTTTACAAACTTCAGCGGGGAAGAATTCTTCGCAAACTGAAATTACACCAATGCAATCTGCCGGAAAAAGAGGCAATCGTGCTTCAACGCCGGCAAAGACGTCTTCATAGCGATATTGCCGATACCTTGGATGAGGAACTTGGTTCTTATTTGCGTTGGCTGGGACTGCTTTCTTTTCATCCCGTTAATTTATCGCCTTGCGATTAGTTTCGACTTCCGATTCATTTGACCGTTTATATCTTCCTTTTTACTCTTCCCACAAGGTCCCATACAACAATAAGCATTTGACACACCGTTCTTTTGATTTAGGCGTTGCATATGTGATGAAGCAAGCTTGGGGATTTTTTTTTCTCATCTTTTGATTCTTTCATCTTTTTGAAACCCTTTCGCTGTGAGTTTTTATTTTTTTTCATTTTTTGAGCAGAAAAATTCCTTTTTTTGCATCCCTTGCTCTTTTTACATAACATAACACATACAATCAGTTTGCCTTTCATTTGTCTATCTGCCTTTTTGTTTATAGTAAAGTCCACTGGGTGGGATATGTGGGAGCGAAAGTTCATATTACTAGCTGTTTGCCTTTGGCTTGGGATCGTTTTGATCTTAGTTGATCTGAAAGGCTCTAGAATTAATAAGTATCACTCCGGTGCTGGGAATTCAGATAAATCCAATACTCGCAACTTATATCTGCCCCTCCAACGAAGAAAGAATTCGTCCTTAAATGAGGTAGCATCATTGAGA